AACTTTATATCATTTATATATTGTCCATTCATGAACTTTATTTAGTGCCTTTTGATGAGTTTTTTATGAGAACGATTTTATCATTATTTAGCGCTGCACCACTACTGATCTGTTTATTGAGGTTTTATCTTGGTTACCTTTGTGCATAGCTGCTTCCCCCTTTTTTTTTTAGCGCGCTCACATAATCTTATCTCTATATTTAATATCCTGAATTTCCGATCACTCTTTAGTCCAAGAATGATGAAGACTGGACTGGAAAAAAGGGAAAAAAATCATATAATAATTATAACAATGCCTAATTTGTTTATTTGTAGTGAATTATAAAATAAAGACATTTTAACTTTATACATTTGTACTGGCAGCCATGATTTTCCAAATTAAAGCCTACACCTTGTTAAAATACATTTTTAAAAAATCAGTACAAGAGGAGATGCTTACATTTAATGTGAAATGCCTCCTGTGCTGGTGCCAACTGTCCTAGATGGAATCTTCTGCCCTTGTACCCTCCCTCCCCCATACACAGCCCTGCAGCAGTAATCCTATGGGGATAATACAGCAGCTGGACCTGTCACAGGCCCTCGTCTAGAGTGCCGACTATGCTCGCCCTTTCTTCTCCCTCCATTCATAAAAGCTGTACTGTAGCTTCCACCAAAGAAAAGTTTTTTTATGAATGGAGGATGGCCACCTCCATTTTGCACAGGGAAAGCTAAAGAGGTAGAGCCCTGGTAGGATATAACTACACATTTGTGTTTTTGATTTTAGAACTATGTTTTTATTTCTAATAAAATAGATATGCAGATTTGTTAAAGTAAATTCTGTAACATGTATACAATGAATGTACGAGAAGAGTTCAAGTCAGACGGGGACTTTTCATTTTACAGATATAAAAAAGGACGCTAGCGTGGCAGTACTACACACAAGAGGCATCCCTAGGGTTGGTGTCACCCTGTGCGGTAACACTTGGTGGCACCCCCTCTGACGATCCCCACAGAATGGATCGGATCTGCAGATTGAGCATAGTGGATCAGACTCCGATCCATTATGCTCAATCTGCAGATCCGATCCATCCTGCGGGGACCGTCGGCTTTCTTTACAACTTACCTTTTCTTGGAGCGGGTCCGGTGTCACCCTGTCTAGGTTGCATGCAACGATCCCCGCAGGATCGTCGGTATGCAACCTATACGGGGTGACACCGGATCCGCTCCAAGAAAAGGTAAGTTGTAAAAAAAAGCCAATGATCCCTGCAGGATGGATTGGATCCATCCTACAGGGATCGTCGGCTTGCTTTACAACTTACCTTTTTGTGGAGCAGGTCTGGTGTCACCCCGTGTGGTCGGTGTCACCCGGTGCGGAGTGCACCCCCCGCACCTGCCTCGGGACACCACTGCTACACACAATAGTAAGAGGAGAGTCCTATTACTGATAGGCGGCGCACATGTCGCGGGTCAGTCCAGAGACTGTTAACCAAGATGGCAGACAACAGTGTTAGTGGGTGCATAGAATAGCATGTGGTGATGAAGTTTCTTGTGAATGAAGGCATAAAACCCACGGATATCTACAGAAGACTTCAAGCACAGTATGGTGATGCGACGCTCAGTAAGACATTTGCATGGTGTAAACGGTTCAAAGATGGCCGTACATCCATCAGTGATGATCCCGGCTGTGGTGGTTCCCAGCCCACAGGAACACCTGATCCTGGATAATCGACACAAAACCTCTCATGAAATTGCAGAAGAGACTTCAGATTTCTGTGGGAATGGTGGACACAACCATTCATGAATGTTTGCATCTTCGAAACATCAGCGCATGCTGGGTACCAAGGCAGCTTTCCACTTTTGACCGGCACAGAAAAGATGAAGTCTGGACTTGAGTTGAAGTAGCATTTTGAAAGGGAAAGCCAGGATTTTCTGGATCTTATTTTCTGGATTACATGTACCAAAACCTGGGCACAATATTTCACTCCGGAATCAAAATGACCATCAAAGCTGTGGAAGCATGTGGACTCACCACCAGCAAAAAATTTGTGAATAATTGCATCTGCAAGTAAAGTGATGGCAAGTGTTTTCTGGGACAAACCTGGAGTTGTGGATCATGTGGATTTTCTACGAAGTGACGCAAACGGTCTTGAGATGGTTCAGGCGTACTGACAAATCTTTCTATACTGAAGCTTTCCAGTTAAAGATGGGATAAGTGTATAAATGTAGCAGGGGAGTATGTCGAAAAATAAATGCAGTTTCCACTGCTCAAAATTTGTTCTCTTAGTATATAAACCTAAAAGCCCCAGTTTGACTTGAACGCCCCTTTTATATACTTTATTTTAGTTTATATAACCAGGTTCCTCATAGAAAGACTGTTGACTATAAGATTTATTTCATCTCTGTATAGGATCCACAGGGGACCCGTGTCGGCCAATGGAAAAACGTTTCTTCTAAGAACGGTATAGCAGAGATGTCCTTCCAGTTGGCTGAGGAACCTAGTATGGGGAAATACAAACTAAAGGCTGATGATGTTACAAGGGAGCTTGACGTGGCAGAATATGGTAAGAGGCAGAGACTTTATGCTGATATTTACCTAAGGGTGAGATGCTGAAGAGCAGTGGATTCCAAACTGTGGCCTGTGGGAGGGTTTTTTAGCCCTTGGGGCACTATTACTCCCACTAATACGAGGCGATATTCCTCTCACTAACACCTACAATGAGACACCATTCCTTTTGCTAACAAGAAAAATTGGTTATTATTCCTCCTCTCACCAAAATCAATGGTGGGGCACCGTTGCTCCCGCTGTTGCTAACAATGGGGCAGCATTACTTGCACAGATAACAACAATGTTGCACTATTCCTCCCACTGATACTAACAATGGGGCACCTTTCCTCCCACTGATACCAACAATGGAGCACCATTACTCTCACTGATACTAACAATGAGGCACCATTCCTCCTACTGATACCCACAATGGGGCACCATTCTGCACTACTCATACAAACAAGGGGGCACCATTACTCCCACTGATATTAACATTGGGCACCAATATTCCCACTGATACCAAGAACGGGGCACCATTACTCCCACTGGCGCTAATAATGGGGTACCATTCCTCCTACTGATATCAACAATGTGGCACCATTCCTCCCACTGACACTAACAGTGGAGCACCATTCCTCCCACTGATAATAACAATGGAACACCGTTATTCCCACTGATACCAACAATGGGGCACCATTCCTACCACTGTTACCAACAATGGGGCACCATTCCTACCACTGATACCAACAATGGGGCACCATTCTTCCCACTGATAATAACATTGGGGCACCATTATTCCCACTGATACCAACAATGTGGCACCATTACCCCACTGATACTAATAATGGGGCACCATTCCTCCCACTGATACCAACAATGGGGCATCATTACTCCCACTGATACCAACAATGGGGCATCATTACTCCCACTGATACCAACAACGGGGCACCATTCCTCCCACTGACAATAACAGAGCACTATTATTCCCACTGATACCAACAATGTGGCACCATTACTACCACTGATACTAATAATGGGGCACCATTCCTCCCAATGATGCCAACAATGTGGCTCCATTCCTCCCACTGATAACAATGTGGTACCATTACTCCCACTGATACTAAAAATGGAGCACCATTCCTCCCAATGATAATAACAATGGGGAGCCATTACTCTGCCTGATACTAAGAATGGAGCAACATTTCTCCCACTGATACTAACAATGGGGCATCATGCCTCCAATTGATACTAATAATGGAGCATCTTATCATACTGATACCAACAATATGGCACCATTCCTCCCACTGATACTAACAATGGGACACCATTACTCCCACTGATATTAACAATGGGGCACCATTACTCCCACTGATACCAACAATGGGGCACCATTACTCCCACAGATACCAACAATGAACCACCATACCTCCCACTAATACTAACAATGGGGCACCATTACTCCCTCTGAAACTAACATTGGGCACCATTATAACCCAGTGATACCAAAAACCTGGCACCATTACTCCCACTGATACTAATGATGAGGGACAATTTCCTCCCACTGATACCAACAGGGCATCATTACTTGCACTAATACCAACAATGGCACACCATTCCTCCCACTGATAATAACTATAGGACACCATTACTCCCACTGATACTAATGATGGAGCACAATTCCTCCCACTGATACTAATAATGGGGTATCAGTTCTTCCACTGATAAAATGGGGAACCATTACTCTGACTGATACTAATAATTAGAGATGAGCGAAGTATTCAAGAATTCGATTCGACTGATTCGGCGAATTCGTGGAAAAAATTTCGATTCGAGTCGAATATATTCGCTGTGAATTTAACTTAAAAAAGGGTGTTTCTAGGCTTCAGAGAGACTTAATATTAGTGCAGAACACTGATACCTAATTTAAATGCCCTTGGAGTCTGCTGGGGAAGAGAAATAATACTGTCAGTCAGTATGACATGCAGATGAGTGCCGTCGATCTTAGAATCACCGCACACTTCACTCATTTGGGCAGTCACGGGACCAAAACCAGAGTGTGGAGCCACAGTGTTGGTGGTGGAGGCAGCAGCAATGGAGGCCATACAGCACCCTATGACAAAAATGGAAACCACCAGCAGTGTGAGGAGACCTGAAAGTGGCACATGGCAGAGTGTGGCGATAGAGACAGCAGCAATGGGAGGCCGTACAGGGACCCATGACACACTCTGGACCTGGCAGCAGCATGAGGAGGCGGTACAGGGGCCCATGACAGATTACGGGGGGTCCTGGCAGCAGCATGAGGAGTCGGTAACGGGGCCCATGGCAGATTACGGGCCTGGCAGCAGCAATGGGAGGCCGTACAGAGACCATGACACACTCTGGACCTGGCAGCAGCATGGGGAGGCGGTACAGGGGCCCATGACAGATTACGGGCCTGGCAGCAGCATGAGGAGTCGGTACGGGGGCCCATGACACACTCTGGACTGATGGCAAGCAGCATGAGGAGGCGGTACAGGGGCGCATGACAGATTACGAGCTGGCAGCAGCAACTTGGACAGGAGGACGTTCAGCTTCTGCACCGTCGGGTGTGTGCTCGCAAAACTGTTGTCTCTTGGATAACGTATTCCCAAGAAAGACTTGCTTGACTGAAATCTCTCGTGAAGAGGAGTAGCAGGAAGAAGGAGCATCTGAACGAGGCGGAATATGCCCAACAAGCGACAACAGGGGCCCATGACAGATTACGGACCTGGCAGCAGCAACACACACATGACGGACGAGCGGTTATATAGGGGGCCCATTGGGAGATTAGGGGGCCGGTGGGCAGCAGCTATGGGGAGGCCCGTCAATCTGGCCAGCGGACCGATAGGGGGGGGGGGGGAGGTGGACAAGATAATTGGGGAAGGCCCACCAGCAGTGTGGAGTGAAGGAGCGGACCGGTGAAAAGCGGGGCACGGATGGCAGAGTGTGGGGCCGATGGGGAGGAACAGGGGGCTAGCAGAATGGGTGGCCGGGGGGGGGGGGGGGGGGGGCAGTACCGGGGGGGAACCCTGACAGACTCTGGAACTGGCAGCCGCAATGAGGAGGGCGGGGGCGTATCTAGGGGCCCATGGGGGGCAGAAGTAAGGGGGGACTTGGGGCTGGCTGCTATGGGGAAGGGATCCGTTAATCTGCCCGGCACCCCTATGTGTGCAGAAAAATTGAACACAGCCAGCAGTGTTGAGGAGAACCTGAACGTGGCCACCTTGGCAGAGTTGGTGGCAATGGAGACATGCTGCAATGGGATGCCGTACAGAAGGACCCGATGACAGGACTCTGTGGACCTGGCATGCTGCTATGAGGAGGCGGTATAATAGGGGCCTATGGCAGATTAGGGGGCCTGTCCGCAGCTATGGGAGAGCCCGTAATTTGCCAGCAGCCTATGACAAATCTATGTCAAAACACCCAGCATTTTGAGTTTTGTTTTGAATTTTCTACACACCAGCATAGTGTGGCGATGGAGACAGCAGCAGTGGGAGGCACGTACAGGACCCATTAGAGAACTCTGGACTTGCAGCCGCATGAGGAGTCGTATAGTAGAGAGCCTCATGGCAGATTAGGGGACCTGGCAGCATCCCCCGCTATGGGAGGCCCCGTAAATCTGCCAGACCCTATGTTCAAAAACTGGAAACACTACCAGCAGTGTGAGAGGAGGACCTCAAAGTGGCACATGTTTGAGGGCATGATTCATGGCGGATTTAGTCAGTTAGTGTTTTTGGTTCCTTATAGTTGTTGTTTGGTGTGTTTCGTTGTCAGGATGGTGGTTTGAAAATCCAGACTAAGCCACGCATGATAACATTTTCACAAAACGTCAGTCCTCTCCACACTTTGGGTTGGACATGTCGTTGTCCTCCGCGGGAGTTGCAATACCTCCTGCCGCACTAAAACACTGTGCGCGCCCTCCGATGCCACGCTAACTGGGCTGGGCATGAAAGCGCTTTCAAGTGGCAAATTCAGCTAGGTGGGGCCAAAGGTCAAGTTTCGTTGTCCCAGTAGTCCAAGGGGATTGTTCTACCTCGGTTGGCAGGGTGCTGTCCCAAGTAGCCCTAAGCCTGTTGTTTGAGGTCCTTGCTCCAGGTCCCCCTGTTGCTGCCCTGCTGCTGCTGCGGGTGGTTAGTAGCTTCCCCTCACTGCGGCTGGTGAAGAAAGCTACTCATCAGTCGACTGCAGACTCGCTCGCGCAGCCGTGGGCTGTGGTGGAGCTGCCACTAGCTCCTGACCACCCCCACCCCTCCCTTCTGTGCCATGGCAGCGGAAACGCGAAGCGCAC